GTCTCTCCCCAACCCCAAGGACAGTCCCATTCTACAACAGTGGCATCATGTAATATTTGTCCTTTTGTGACTGAGAATGTAATTAAAGATATTAACTACATTAACAAATGATATTTTTCCCATTTTTTCAATTTCAGCTTTATCAGCAGGGACGCTTATGTCAACTGGGAAGTGAATTTTGTGAATTGGAAGTTTTTGCTAAAGTATTGAGAGCTTTGGATAAAAGGTAAATTTATTGGCAAGAAACATTTTTTATGTTACTAATTCCTTTTGTAATTAATCTCTGTAATCTCTGGGCAAAGATGACTAATTTCATCAAGATGTATAACCTTGGAAACCTGATGTGGGAGGGTCACCATGAATTGGAATCAACGCAGCAGCCAGGGGTTTAGTTTGGCTTATGGAATTAAAGTATTTCTTAAATGTAATCATATCAGAAAATTCAGAATGGATCAAATAATCTTGCCTTTAACAAGTATATGGTGGTGTTTTTTTTTGTTTTTTTTTTGGTGGTGGTAGTTTTGTGCCATTGCGTCAGAACTAATAGCTGACCCTCAAGCAGGTTTTCAGAGGCTGGAAATCGTAAGAGAGGAGCTTGCTCATCCTTCTGGGGAGCAGCCTTTGGATTTGCAGCCCTGCTTCTTACCGCTCGGCCACCGGAGTTCCCTATAGGGCCAGTAAAACTATAATTGTTTATTGATAAATTGGTTTTTCCATATATCTGGTATTAATATACTGTGTTATCATAGTTTATTTTTGTTTTAGAAGCAGTGACATTTCATGTTAATAATTTTAACAGCCAAATGAATCATCACAAAATATATACAATCTATATATTCAGCAACTAGATAAAGGAATAGCAGGTAACTAAAATCTCAGAAACTGGTTTTACTCTCTTCCAGTCACTATTCTTTATTACAAGAGTAGGATTCATTTTGCCAGTTTTTGAGCTTTATAGAAATTAAAATTATCCAATAATTTTATAAAATTACCCAGGAAGTATTCTTGTGTGTCTAACTCCTATGTTCCTCAGTATTATGTTATATTATTACTCATGTTTAATTGCTAAACATTTCTAGTTGTACATGTTAATCATATTAATATAATTTTTATTTACTCATCTCACTGTTCTTAATTAGTTGCATTGTTTCCAGCTTTTAGCTGTTGCTGTGAACTTTCTTGTACAGGGCTTTTGGCAATCATAGGTAAGCATATCTATTAGATGTATACACCTGGTAATAGAGTTTGGAAACTGATTTTAAGATTTATAACTCTGGTCAGCCAACATGCTACAGAAAGTAATAAAAAAAATTGTTATAGTAATTGTGCAATCCAAACAAATAAACTTTGTAACAGAAAGGAGACAGTTTCTCCTTTTGCCCTGTTCTTCTCTAACCCCTTTGGAATATGAGTACTCTGACAATTTAGTTTCATGGGTGCAGCGAAGGATACCCAATTCATCTTCCCCACTGTAGTTAAATGACAAAGAGCGAGCACTGCATTTGATTGTACCTACTATTTGCTCTGAGGGGAAAAGATTGACAGTCTCTTCCCATGCGGTTTATATCCTCTGAAAACCTGCTGCTAGAAGGTCAGCTTTGAGTTGTTTTTACTTTCTTTAGTGTTGTTCCCTAAATTTACCTCAGCTGTCACTTTTTTCTAGGTAGCTTTGGTGATCTAATGGTAAGAAACTGCGCTGCCATACCAAAGGCATGCAGTTTGAATCTACCACCTTCTCTGTGGGAGAAAGAAGGGCAATCTCCCATGCCATTAAACAAAAATTCTCACCACGGGACCAGTAGGTAACATCATAAAATAGATGGAAAAAATACTGAAATTGTCAGTTTCATCTTCCTTGGATCTACAGTCAGCATCTTTGCTACCAGCAGTTAAGAGATGAGGAGACTTATTGCATTGGGAAAGTCTGTAGTCAGAGACTTCTCCAAATTACTGAAGAACGTTGGTGTTATTTTTGAAGACTAAGGTGGGCCTGTTAGAAGCCATGGTCTTTTCAGTCATTTGCTATGCATCTGAAAGCCAGACGAGCATGACAGGAGGAGAATTGTTGCTTTTGAGCTCTGGTGTTAGAAAAGAATACTGAAAATTCTTTGGACTACCAAAAGAACAAACACACTGTCTTGAAGAAAGTGCAATCAGAATGCTCCTTTTGAGGCAGAGATGACAAAGACTTCTCACATACTCTGACTATATTGTGAGGAGAAGCTATCCCACAGGACGGGACATTATGCTTGGAAAGGTAGTGGGAAGGTGAAAGAGAGGAAGACATCAAACAGATGTATTGACACAGTGACAGCAGCAATGGGTTCAAGTGTGTTAGAGATGATAAGGACGGCACAGGATAGGACAAGGATGAGATCTTGTTCATAGGGTTGCTATGAGTCATACTCAGTGGTACCTGAGAGCAACAACTTCACTTTTTTTAAACTCACATTTGTAAGAAAATACAAAGATGGTTTCTCAGAGTTTTACTAATCTCTGATATGAATATTGCCAAGTTTTTTATTTATCACTTGAATAAAGTTTATTGAATGCCCAGTGTATTTCACACTGTCTTAGATAGTGAGACAGAAAATAAAAATTATAAGATCCTTTCTTTGCATTTTAGACTTACATAAGATAATAAACAAGCAAAGCAATAGAACGGTTTCATGGTTCAAGGATAACCTTGAAATGTAGCCTATGTACTAAGCCTATAAACATTTTGTGAATTGATTAAGACTAAATATGTAAATGAATAGAGTCTTAGTGGTTGTGTGCGTAATGTATTGGACTGCTAACCAAAAGGTCCACATAAGAATTCACAAGATGCTCCTTTGGGGAAAAAGAAGGACAGTCTTCTCCATAAAGATTTAGAGCCCAAGAAACCCATTGGAAGGTGGCTATGAGTCAGAACCAGCTCTGCAGCAGTGGGATTTTAAGTTTGATGGCATAATGGGTAAGAATTTAGTTGCTAAGAAATGGATCAGCAGTTTGAACCTGCTAGCCACTGTAATGGGATAAGATTGGGTCAGCTAGTATACTATAAAAATTTCTAGTTTTCGAAACCTTTTGGGCAATTTTGCTCTGTTCTCTAGGGTCACTGTGAGTGAAAATCAACTTGATGGCAGTGAGCTTACACAAATAATGGAAAATAACATCCATTTAAGTAAAAGAAAACGGTAGAAAAGCTTTTAAAAACATTTTTTACTTGAAGATTAAGCTTTCTGGAATCAGAAATTTCTCAAAGCATTTCTGAACCTAGGTGCTATAAAGCTTTAGTGGAATAACACTCTTTCGTCTCTTAGATTTATGAGATATGGTGCCAGTGAGTCAGTTTTTGACTCATAATGACTCTGTGTTACAGTAAAATTGCCCCCTAGGTTTTCTAGGATGTAACCTTTATAAGAGCTTATCTCCCTGTCTGTCTTCCCTGGAGATGCTAGATGAGTTTGAACCACCAGTTTTTCCCTTAGCAACTGAGTCTTAGTAGGACTTCTTAGGTTGTATCTTAACCAAATCCAGTTCATGACTGTTTTTTATATACTCTTCATATCCTGCTATATCTGAAATAGCACCATTGGGTAACTTTATCGCAAAACTTTATTACACAAATTTATTTTCTCACTATTAGGAGTCTAGAAATCCAAATTCAAGGCACTATCTCTAGGGAGGGAACTCTGGTGACATATTCCATAAGGAGTTATACTGCTCACCTGGTTTGAAATCCAGGAGAAAGATGGGCATTCTTTTCTCATGTAATTTACAGTCTTAGAATCCTGATGGATCGTCAGAACTCAGTTCTGACTCAGTGGCAGGGAGATGAGTGAGCTCTTGGGGAGGAGCCTGGGTGGCAGAATGTGTAATGTGCTAATTCACATTGCAGTATGTGTAGTTAGCATTTTTAAACAGTGGAACAAAGATGGACTGTGTTCATTTTCCTTTATAGACTTGGAAACCTGATAAAATATCACTGTGAGGCTTAAATTGACTCCATGGCTATGAATTTTTGAGAAGGCTAGTAAAGGAAGGTTTTCTCTATCTTTTGTCTCTGAGGAAAGATCTTTTGTCCCTTTTCATAGGCGATTTCATAGTTACTTGGTGGCCTTATATGGCTTGGTATGTGTCTTTCCCTCACTACTTTTTGTTACTAGATCTGCTCTTTTGTATTTCTAGAGAGATTGAGATAAATCTAATCTCTTACTGCTTATTAACAATTTAATTACTTATTAGCATGATAAAACTATATCCCTAAGGAAAGTGTAGTAAGTTACAGTAGGATTTTAGCATGCATATTTTTGGGGACATAATTCAATCCACATAATTCTGTAACCTACAGGTACTTAAGTGTTTTAATTTTGAAACTAAAAGCATACAGTTTGACTCCCTCCCCCTCTTATCCAGAGTAGTGGCTCTATTATTTACATTTTTAAAAAATTATTTTGTCAAGATCACCATAAAATTCATTTACAAGTATAAAGTTCAGTGGTTTTTAGCATATTCACTTGAATAATGCTGCTGTGAACATTTCTGGATAACACAATTTTTTGTAGATACGTATTTTCAGTTTTTTGCATTATATTCCAGGAATGATAAAGATTTATCACTTTAACATTTTGAAGATCTACCAAACTATTATTCCATGTTGGCTACAATGTTTTACATTCTGATGTATTAAGAGTTCCAGTTTTTCTACACCTTCACTGATATTTATTTGGGGCTGGGGCTCTTTTCACCATAGTGGGAGTGAAGTGTTCCTCATTGTAGTTGATCACATTTGTTACTGACTAATGAAAAGAGCCCAGATTGTGAAATGTGGAACACTTGGCTGCTAACTGAAAGCTTGATGGAGACTACTATCACATCTCATAAAGATTACAGCCTGTAAAACAGTGGGGCAGGTCTTTTGTTACATGAGGCCACTATACTTCAAAATAGAGTCAAGGGTATTTAACAGCTATGACTGATGATAATGAATATCTTTTCAAGTGCTTATTGCTCATTTTTTTGTAAAGCGAATATTTATATTTGTTGAACATTTTAAAAATTGGATTATTTATAATATTTTCTCCTCAAATTATAAGACAATTTGGTTTTTAAATCCTATTTTAAAGGTTAGTTTCATCCTTCATATTTTATTTGTCTTATTAGGATTAAGTTATATGTCATAAACCCTTCTCAGTATTACAGGATTACTTTGTGATCCACTTAAGAACAATAGTAACCTGAATTGTGAATAACTTAGGCCTCATAAATCATAAGGCAAGAAGAATTTTATCTTATTCCTGCCTGGAAATTAATGTTATTTGTGTCGTGTTTTGTTTTGTTTTTTAGCAAGCTAGCCCTTTGTAAAAAGACAAAAATATGTTTAAAATAACTTTTTCTTCACTTTTAGACATTTGCTTCATCATTGTTTCCAGGCTTTGATGGATCATGGCGTGAAAGTCGCTTCAGTCTTGGCCTACTCATTCAGTCGACGGTGCTCTTATATAGCAGAATCAGATGCTGCAGTAAAAGAAAAGGCCATTCAAGTTGGTTTTGTTTTAGGTAAGAACAAAATTGAGGGATGTTTTGCCCTATGAAAGGAATAAACTTAGTGACAATAAAAAAAATGCTCTTAGGACTTTTCCAAAGGCTACATAAGTAGGTTATTTTTGAAAGTCATAAAAACTAGGCATAAATCTAATTTCGAAAACCAAACGTGGCAGCTCTCCATTGAGTTTTTGAAGCTATAAGTCTTTTTTTTAAAAAAATAATTTATTTTATTATTTTGTGTGTGTGTACCGTCAAATTGGATCTGACTGGTACAGGAGGAGATTGACCCTCCTTTTCCAGCAGAGCATCTGGTGGATTTGAACCACTTATCTTTGGGATTACAGTGCAGCTTCTTGCCACCAGGCCACCAGAGCTCCCCTGAAGCTCTAAGTCTTAAGGACCACTTTGCCTCATCTTTCTCCCCTGGAGTGGAGGGTAGATTCCGCCTTTGGTTAGCAAGTCAACCTAGTAATATCTTTGTAAGTTTAATTTCTTTAATACGTGGGAAGTGGTTACCACAGTGTAAAATAGTTTGCCTTTTGTAGTTAAAGCATTTATTATATGTTAACAATGTACTGATGTTAATAATGCATTAATGTTAACAATGTAGTTGCATAACACCTAGCCATTATCATATAGTTACTCTAAATCATTTTATAACAAATTATTATATAGTATATAATGCATATATGATTGTGCCATAACCAATATATAATCATTAGTTAAAAATGTTAACCATTATTAGGAATCAGGATCCTTAAAAAAGATGGTATACGATTAAAAAAATATAACATCCTCTTTGGTATTGAGTATGGAAATATGGAAAAGTTATATGTATCCTACAAGGTGAAAAACTAGAAGAATCAGAATATAGTAAACAATTAACTAAAAATTACTCTTGGGGCTATGGAAATAGTCTTAGAGAGTTAAAACCCTGGATTCCTTAAGCACAATCTCAACTTTGATTTTAATTCTCCTAGTTCAGGATCTTTTTTTCCTCTTTTTATTACCACAATTAGTATTCTTCCTTTATGGTAAGTGCAGGATTTTAATATATTTCTCAGTTTATTTGATTTTCAATGTAAGCATGCCATTTGAGTTCTCAAGTGTTATATATTCTCTTATCTAAAGTTAATAGTTTTTCTTGTCTTTCAGGTGGCTTTCTTTCCGATGCAGGCTGGTACAGTGATGCTGAGAAAGTTTTTCTGTCCTGTTATCAGTTGTGCACTATACATGATGAGATGCTTCATTGGTTTCGTGCAGTAGAATGTTGTGTGAGGTGAGTGGGAACAGAGCCTACAGTTATATGCTACAATCGGTTTAGTGGCTTATAGTTTTAGTTTTTGTAAGTTACACAGTAGCTGTAATTAAGAAATTAAACAAGTCACATTGTGTAAATCTGCTGCAAAAGACCTCTTTGCGGTCTTAATAAGTACAGTTGGCACTTTGATGACTAAATGTGCTGCACTCAAGTACATGCCATATGTTTATAAAAATCCCGGGTTGTTTTTTTTTTATTTCTTAATTACATTTTATACTTTGCTTTTTCTTGCTATAAATGTACTATTAACTCTTTGCTTTCGCTCTTTTTTTTCCTATATGTAATGTTCTGCTTAGTCTTTGCTTTTACTGTTCTTATTTTTTGTAAATGTAACGTTCAGCTTTAGTTGTTTTGATAAGAGATTTTCTCTCAAATCTCTAATTTGGCCTTTTAAAAAAGTTTTTATGAAAATGATGAGAAGTCAATACTGCTAAAAATAAAATAGAAATTACTTGCTCTGTGTTAACTAAAGTTTAGTGAGTTTACTGAACATTTAGTCTTTTTTATAGAAAGAAAAGTTCTAATAATTGAAATTAATTCTTAATGTCTTTTGAATTAGAATAATAGAGTCTTCCTTAAAAAATAAGTTGATATAAGTTAAGATGAAATAAGTTGTTTTAAATGTTTTCCAATTTTAGTTCAGTCTTTTGAACCTTTTTATACAGGGTTATTACCAGTTTTAGGAAACACTCAAATCCTGAACATAATTTTATTATATGCTAATTTAATTATAAATAATATGTTAGATGTCTGTTATAATTGCACAGAGATATTTTAAACTCACTCACTGCTGTTGAATAAAAGTTTATAATAAAATAAGCAGCTGTGGTGTACTGTTAAACAAGAGAATATATTATAGGGATATTTTTGTGGACATGCTATAAAAAGATTAAATTTTTTACCATGTAATTTATAATACTAATAAATAATCTCTACTCTCTTGCCTTAGCACTTTTTTTTAATAAAACTGTCTCTCATTATTTGAGCTTTTTTAAAAAAAATTTTTTTTATTATTTTCTCTGTATGTGCACTGTCAAATTGGATCTGACTGGTACAGGAGGAGATGGCCCCTCCTTCTCTGGCAGAGCCTCTGGTGGTATATCTCTGGGATTGCAGTGCAGCTTCTTGCCACTTGGCCACCAGAGCTCCCCTAGCACTTTTTTTTAAAAAAAATGTGATTTTAATGGAAGTTTATAGAAAGGTTGGTCATTCATTCGTTGTTGAGCATTTTCTGCCCTCTCCCTCCCTACTTTACCACATCTGCCTATTATAGAGGGAATAGGCGATTAGAGTGTCTCATTTGAGATCTTTGAGGATAGTTCACTGTTTCTATTTTCATAAATTACTGCATTTGTAACAGGAGAGTAATTTTGAATAAAAAAATGTTTTGGATACTTTGTAGGTTCTTTTTTAGCAGCTTTTCTTTTTTTTAATTCAAAGAGAAAGCACTCTATTTTTGTGTGTGCTGCTTCTCTCACCCTCTTTTTCTTTCTTCCAGTTGTGGACAACATATATGATATAAATGTTTACCAATTCAGCATCTTTTACATATACACTGAAGTTATACTAATTATATTCATGTTGTTCAACACTACAACTATTGGTTTCCAAATGTTTCTACCATCTTTCACAGAAGCTCAGTATCTTCTTTGTACTTCTTGCCTGTCTGCCAATAAACATTGGTCTCTATAAGTTTTCCTTTCTTAAATATTTTCTGTAAATGGTATCATACAATATTTAACCTTTTATGATTGACAGCATAATATTCATTCATGTTTTAACATTTATCAAGGCTTTATTTTGTAGATTAATAATATTCCTTTATATGCATGTTTTAATGACATACACAGTGACTGCATTGACACAGTGACTGTAACAGTAGGCTCAGATATGTCAGAGATTGTGAGAGGATGGCACAGCATGAGACAGGGTTCAAATCTGTTTATCATAGGTTTGCTGTGAGTCATACTCGATGGCAACTAACAACAACATGTATGTTACACATTTTGTTTCTTCCTTCATCTCTTAATGGTCATTTAGGCTTTTGAATATTGTGAATTGTGTGGTAATGAACATTGATGCATAAACATTTGCATTCCTGCTTTTTTTTCCTTTCGGGTATATAGGGATAGTATTACTGGATCATAGGGTGGTTGTTCAGTCTTTTAGGGGGGTATCCACTATACTACGATGCAATGCTAGACATGCTAACCTCTCTATGCCAATCCAAAGGCAAGCAGTTTAAATTCACCAGCTGCTCTACAGGAGAAAGATGCGCAATCTCCTTTCATGCAATTTACAGCCTCTGAAAACCTGATGAAAGGTCAGCTGTGAATCATTTCCCACTTGATGGCATATAAGAACAACAGAATACGGTGACGGGTAACTGTCAGTAATTCAAGCAGGATTCAGAAGAGAATGTTATCACTAACATCAAATGCATGTTGGCTGAAAACAAAAGACCACAAAGCTGTTTATTTGTATTTTTTGACAACAGGAAACATTTGACTGTGTGGATCATAATAATTTATGGATAGCATTGAGAAGAATGAGAAATCCAGGATACTTAGGATATTCATTCAAAACCTGTCCAAAGATAAGAAGTGGTTGTTGAAACAAAACAGGGGGACACTGTGTGGTTAAAATCAGGAAAGCTGTGTGTCAGGGTTATGTGCTTCTCATTCTATTTATTCCATATGGATGCTGACTGAACAGATAATCTAAGAAACTGGTCTGTATGAAAAAGAATATGGCATCAGGGGTGGAGGAACATTTGTCGGGGAGCTGCATTATGTTAAATGACATAATCTTGTTTGCTGAGAGCAAAGAAGATTTAAAGCACTGAAGAACAAAAAAGACAAAATGGATATTAAGAGAACAAAATCCTCACCATTTGAAAAATAGCCTAAGAACATTGTGATTGGTTGAGAAAAGATTGAAGTTATCAATGATTTCATTTTACCTGGATCCACAGTACATATGCTTGGAATCATCAGACAAGAAATCGGTGTTTTGCATTGGGCAAATCTGCTGTCAGAGACCTTTAAAGTGCTAAAGGACAAGGATGTCCTTTTAAAGACTTAATTTGTACCTAATCCAAGCCAGATTTTTGTATGTTTCATATGTATGTGAGACAGTAGCTTTGACTTGTGATAATAATGAAGACTATGGAAAATACTTTGATGTTAAATCTTGTCTTTTTGAAGAAATTCAGCCAAAATATTAAGAGGCAGGGAAGATGAGGTATTATCTCACATACTTTAGGTATGCTGTGATAGGCAAGTTCCTGGAAAAGAAGGACATAATGCTTAAAAAAGTAGAGAGTCAGAGTGAGATGAATTTACACAGTGACTGCAATGTAGTGACCTGAAGCATAGCAGAGATTGTATGATGCAGGATCAGGCAGGGTTTGATTCTGTTGTATGTAGGGTTGATGCCAATTTGATAGCACCTAACAACAGTGACTAATGACATGAATATCTTTTTATGTGCTTTCGGTGCTGCTGCTTATGTGCCGTTGAGTCTCCAGTGACTCATAGTGACCCTGTGTGCAACAGCTTTGAAGCCTGCCCTGTCCTGAGCCAGTCTCACTGACTTTGACACACCTACCCCCATGGCCCCAGTTACTGTATCAATCTATCTCATCTGGATTCTTCCTCTTCTGCATTGTCCCTCCACCCTTCCAAGCATGTCCTTCTCTGATGTCCTGGCCATGTGCCAGAGTATATGAGAAAGAGCTTCAAAATCCTAGCCTTCAAAACTTGGTTTCACCCTCTCCAAAACAGGCCTATTTGTTTTCTTGGCTGTTCAATACTCTTCTCCAGCACCACAACTCTAAAGGTATGAGTTCTTCTGTCATCCTTAGTCGTTGTCCAGATCTCTGTTGCGTAGCAGGTAATTGCAAAGACATTGACCTAGGTCAAGCACACCTTAGTCTCTGGACTTGACATCATTGCTTCTCAGTACTCTGGAGAGGTCTGTGACAGCAGATTTGGTGCTTGTTCAAGTCCTTTGCCCATGTTTTATTATATTGTCTTTTGGTTAAATTATTGTAGTCCTTTACTTTCTCAAGGATAGCAAGTAATCAAGGATTACTGAGAGAAAATACTGTATCTAACCAACTTTATAGCAAAAGTGTGAATTTTCCAGCATAGAAAACTCATTGTACCTCTGTATATCTTATCTGAGGGAAATACTCAAGACATTTTTCTGATTAAAAATAGAATAATAGCAGACACCAGTATAAGGGATGATATCGTAGAAATAGTATTTAATTAATGAATTATATATTTTTTAAGAACCAAACACGTAAATTCACACTCACTCACTGCTCTTGAGTCCATTCAGACTTACAGTGATCCTCCATCAAGTTTTCAAGTCTGTGAATCTTAAACAGCAGGAGGTTGCTTATCTTCCACCTGAGGAACTACTGGTGGATTCAAAGTGCTGAGGACACTTGGTCTTTTGGTGAGCAACTGAACACCCTAAAAACTATACCACCATGGTGTTTGTGTAATACATAGTTAGAAATAAATTGAATAAGAACAGGATAAAGAATAAACTGGATGTTGTTAAGAACATGTTTGGTAAAGATTTTTTTTAATTGGGCCTGAGAAGTACAATTTTAGAAATAAAACAAAATTCTCAATTGCATGTATTCTCAGATCTCAAGTAAGAAGTTTTTCCCCCATAAATTTTTCCAAAAAAAGAAAATCCTCTTCCGAATCTCTTCATTCTATGTGATGTTCTTTCAGTTAGTACATTTTGAGTAGAGCATAAGTAAGGAGTGTTAGGCTGAAGCAGGTCAATCCGTGTTAATGTCAGAATGATCAGAGAGATCACCTGGCTTAATTTTCTTTTTTAAGGAAGAAATGAAATTTAATAGAGATTTACTCTGGAGGTCATGACCTTAACAATTATGAGGTCTTTATTGACTGGCTTTTTAAGTATTACTTTGA